GAGAGAGAGAGAGAGAGAGAGAGAGAGAGAGAGAGAGAGAAGGGGCCTAAGACCAAGATGGACACTTGTCTTATTCTGTCTACATCCAAGTATGACCTAAAATCAGAAGGTGAGAGACAAAGAGAGATCACCCTTGTGAGAACAAACCAAAAACATCAAGAAGACCCTGGAAACAGAGGCTCTGGGCTCTGGTGGCCACATAAGGGACTGTAAACTCTTCTTGTGAGGGGTTTCCCAGAGGGTCCAGCCGATCTGCAACCCACTTGTCCAAGATTCTGGTGTGACAGAAGTCCCAGCCTTTTCTTGCCAAATTGGAGATGTTGTGGCCTCTCCTGGTCAGGATCAATGGGCAGCAGGAAGAGAGAGTGACACTGGGTCTGGCTTGAGCATCTGAAACCTCAAAGCCCATCCCCAGTGACACATATCCTCCAACAAGGTCACACCTCTAATAGTGCCACTTCCTATGAGCCTGTGGGGGCCATTTTCTCTCAAACCACCTCACAGCATGATGGAACCATCATGCTTCGTCATTATTCAAGCTACTGTGTCTTTAACCATCACGCTCTCACACACTGAAGAGAGGTGGTCCTTAGTGGCCAGTGATACTTCTGTGGAAATACATGACTGATGCCTGGATCTCATCCCACTAGGTCTGCTCTTAGCAGTTGATACAATATCACTGTGCCGTAGCAACTGCTGTCTAAGAGTAATCCCTACTGCTGTCAGTCCGCGTGCGGACATGGCTTTCACTCACCTACCTCCATTTCCTCCTCCCCCAACAGGACACACAGGACCAGCCACTGCTACCGAATTACCTACCGCCACATGGAACGAACACTGTCCCAGAGAGAAGTCAGCAGTGTCCACCAGGCTGTGCAGGAGGCCGCTGTGCAGCTGCTGGGCGTGGAAGGCCGTTTTTGATGTCGTGGCATTATACAGGCTGTAGCCCTCTTAGAGCACCAGGACTCTCCAGAAAGGGGGAGCCACAGTGTTTGTGAACTGGAGTGTCTGTCCTCATTTGATAAATGGGTCTGCTTTAGGACTTTCAGGAAATAAAGGATCACTTTTTAGAAGCATTGACATAGCATTTGTCTTTTATTTGGGGGAAGGAGAAAGCAGACGCTGATATAAGAGTTCCCTGCTATTCTTTTAGAAATGCTTGGCCCATTGGCTCTCCGTGTGGTTAATTGGTCCCTGGGTTCCATTAAGCACCAGGCATGATTCTTGCCTGACAGGCTCTTCCACCCATGTAATGAGTGAAGCCACAGAGAAGGGACTCAGGAGCTGGATAGCATGCAGGCATGCCTAGTGTTTGTGTTTTGTTTGGCTGTAGGTCACAGATTCTGCATTTTGACAAATTGAAGGTTCGTGGCCACCTGTGTTGAGCAAGCCTGCTGTCCCCGTTTTCCTTCAGCTCAAATGATCATTAGTATTTCTTAACAGCGATTTTCAATTGGGGGATATATATATATATATATATATATATATATATATATATATATATATATCTCCCTCCTAAAGTTATTGTGTACCTCACAATGGGTAGAATGCATATGCACTGGGAAACCAAAAGATGCCTGTAACTTCCTTCATGATGAATTCACTTTATCACAGTGGTCTGGAACCAGATCATCATCCCCAACCTGAGCCTGTCCAGGAAGCCTTTGAGTCTCTGCCATCCTTTCTCCCTTCTCTTCTTTGTTTTGCAAAGGGCAGGCTTCAAAGAGGCCACTGATGAAATGCCAAGGCTTCCCTTGAAAGTGGAGAGTCACATCTCTAAGCCAGGCAAGGTAGATACTTGCTTTCATAAACCCAAGGCCGGGGCCAGCCCCTTGGCCCTAGGCTTGGACCTTCTTGCCTAATGCCCTAGTGCAGAGGAAGGAAAGGAGCAAGAACTGCCCTGAGTCCAGGAGACACACTGAGGGCCAGGTCGGCCAACTCCCCAGGTTGTTCCCTCCAGGAGCCCTCCACTTCCAGAATGAAGGCAACCTTTAAGGGAGAGCACAGGGCTTTGATGTCTCCCCCTTTCCATCCTGGGCACTTTGTAGTCAGCCTGTTTAACTCATGACCAGCCTTAATAATCAGATTCCAGGCCTGACAAGATGCTGGAGGCTGATGGAAGACTCAGAGTGCTGGGATAAATATTTGATGAGAGGTAGCCATTACCAGCAAGCATGTAGGGGGTAGGCAGCTGCCCAGAGTGTGGCTGTGTTTGGAAACAGGCTCATTCCAGACATAATTAGCTAAGAGGACATCTTACTGGGAGAGTTAGACCCTACTCCAAAATGGCTGGTGTCTTTCTGAGAAGAGGACCACATGAAGACAGAGAAACCAGCGGAGCTGTCTATGTGCTCATGATTTCCAAAGCTTGCCCATAAGCCGTAGGAGACGGGAGCAGCCTCTATAGATTCTAAAGGAGAGCAAATATCTGTCCAACCAACACTCGACATCAGAATTCTGACCCTCACCATAAAAACTGTGATAATACACATTTCTAGTTTGGAGTACTTTATAATGGCGGTCCTTGGGAACTTAAGATAGCACCCAAAACAGGGAGGCCACTTCCCTTACTAATTAAGAGTCTGAGATGAGGGTCCCACCTAAGATTTTTCCTCCTTTCTAGGAAGAGGCTGCAAGTCTAACCTATGCAGGAGACACTGAGTGGTCACATGACTCCTATGAGCCCCTGCATCTGGCAGTCTCTTGAGAGGTAGATGGCATGGGTCGTCAGAGTTAAGAGTCAGGGGACCTTAACTCTGTCTGGAGATCCAGGACACAAACCTGAGACTCAAATATCTTGGGTCTCCCAGCTTGCAATCACTGAAAAGAGGCAACCAGCCACGGAGAGCCCGTTCATATCAAGAGTGTCCTGGCCATGTGTTCTGCCTACTGATGACCTTGCCACATGAGGGCACATGAACATGGACTGTCCTTGACACCCATGACAAGAAGAGCAGATAATCAAATGTATGTCCGAAATGCTAGATGACCCACACCCCTCTGGAATCTCCAGGAACTTTCCCCATCCCCAGTGGCAAGGACTGGAAACAATGAGGCTGAATGCTGGCTGTGGACCCCAGTGCTGGAGTGCTTGCCAAGCATGTGTGAGGTCCAGGTTTCTATCTCCAATCTAGAGTCTGGGGCTAGACTCCTTCAAACGTGCCCAATGTCTGATCTTGGAGTGCAGCAGAGCTCAGCCTGGTTCATACTTGGAAACAACAGCTCAGGGACTGCAGGGCCCTGAGACTCCAAGCAACCTAGACAAGAGGGTCAGCAGACTCTGTGAAACTGGCATTATTAAGCTGCACTCATTGCATCCTCCTGATTGGCCTGAGAAAAGGAAGTCTTGAATGGAAGATTCAGATGGTATGTCATCCCTTTTAGTTCCTGTTTCTCTGTCCTCAAAGTAAATCCCTGGTCCTGAGACCAGGACATTCTTCTCTCCCTCCTGTCCCCTACCTTTCTTCCTCCTTCACTCCTCCCTCCTTCTTTCTCCATCCTTCCCTCCCATCTCCTTCATCTTCCCTCCATCCTCCCCTCTATCCTCTCTCTCTCTCTCAGACCACTCACTCCTTCCTTCCTCCTCCCTTCTCTTCCTCCAGCTGTTCTACATGGCCCTTCCTTCACCAGCCTTCTTCTTCCCTACCCTCTGCTGTCTTCCACCCAGGCACCCTGATGGAGGCTGCCCTAGCCCCATATTCAGCCTTAGGATGCCGTGTAAATACAGCTCCTGCCAAAGGGAAGCACTGTGAGCCTCGCTGTCACTTGCTTTCCTCCTCTGATGAGGGAGACAGCAACTGGTAAATCAGGGCTCTTTAGCCAGGGCAGCTGGCCCTGCCCTTGTCTCTGTGCATTAATCACCTCCGTGACCCAGCTAGCACAGGCTGCAGGGCCTCTTAGCACAGGAACTTCCCTGCTACACAGCTCCACCACCACAAAACCCCAGTCAGGGAAAGCTAAAAGGCACAGGCTTTCTTGCCTCACGCCTCAGGCTGTCCAGCTCTGACAGGTCACGCTGCACTGTTCCAGCTGGGCACAGCCTGCAGATGACTGTCCATTTCTGTGTCCAGCCAGCTGGCTGCTGCTAGAGTGTTGTAGGGATTCACCCCAGGCCAGGAGACGGGCTGTGAACTCTTCCGGTTTTTGTCCAGTGGAGCATCAAGAGTGGAACACACTGTGAAGGTCACAGAAGGTGCATTGTCAAGACGGACAAGGCAGTTTACAGAGTGACTAAGAACTTTGAATGCAAAGTGGTAGATGCAAGTCCTAGCTAGAGCCACCTGCAGGAACGGACCCCAACTTCTCCTAAAAATTAAATGAGAGCCAGCCATAGCTCCTGGTATTAGACTGCTGAGGGGTGTAGATTCCCAGAGGGCCACTGTCCCCAGTGAAGAATTATAAGGAAGGACAGGGAGGTGTCTGCTATCTGTGGTACTTGGAGATGTACCAGAAGATCTGACCTGAAAAACTTTAGGATTTGTACAGCACCCCTCCCTACACACACACACCAGAGAGGTGAATTCCCAAGGCCCATGTGTGTAAAATGGCTGCCTGAATTATTTGGATAGTTGGGCTATGAAGATCAGAATGCCCAACTGAGCTACAGTGACTTAATCCAGTGTTCCATAGAACCAGAAGTCAGAGGAGCCACCCTGAGACTCAGGCTCCTCCCAGTTTTTAGCTCTGCCGACTTTGGTGTGTTGCCCCGCCATAGTTGCAGTGGGACAGCAGAAGCACAAGCAACATATACCCATGCACCACCTTCTGAAATCTGGAACAGGGAGAGCAAGGCGTCTTAGCTTCTCTCCCTAAGTTCCATAGAGAAAACATTTCTCAGCCTTCCCTCCAAGTGTGTTTGGCTAGAATTAAGCAAGCCCTGTTTATGTATTCTGGGCCTGGCTCTATTTCTAAATACCAACCCCTTTCCTGTGCTGTGTCCTCATTGAGCAGGGCATGGGGAGGAGGGAGATACAGTAAGCTAAGGCTGAGGCCAGACTGAACAGTGTGGCAGAGGCCAGTCCAGCTAGCACTTGGTTTCCTGGCTTTTATATCCCAGGACCTATACAAAAGTGAGAGTGTTTTAGCCTAGGGCCCAAGGGAGTCAACTGATGGCTGAGCCTTCCCACATCCTTGCTGGGGCTGTTGAAAATGGTGACCTGCTTGAAACATTGCACTCTGAGGCTAGCAGTTTGGAAACACGTTTACTCACTGCCAGACGCCCTTCCTTGCAGGGTTCATGAGCTCTTTACAAAGGCTAATTTATTTACACTTATAACTCATAATGAGATGCATGGGAAAAAATATATATGTGTATATATTGCCATGCCCAGTGTCTTTTGCACCCGGAGAGGTGGAGGGATAGGTCCAACTGCACGCAGAACCCCCACAGGGCTTGTGCTACTATTGGCAGGGACAGGATCTAGTGCCAGAAATCAAAATGCTAAGGCCTTTGTCACTTCTTCAAGCTAAATGTCAAGAAAGCAATTACGGATGACCCAGAGGCTTGCAGCATGGAATGAGCGACCATCCGAGAGACTGTGCATAGCTCTTAGTGGCTCAGCCCAGGCTGCATGAAGATGGTGGTGTGAACTCGAAAGGCCAGCCAGAGTTCTGCCAGCTTTTGATGCAGGTTATACAAGGTTCCAGATGTCCATGGCAGAAGGGAGGCCAGACTCAGAGCCACAGGCAGCCTAGCCAGGTGAGGGCTTCTTCTCATTGTGCATGTTGTTTTCTTACCTCTAGGAAACTAATGTGCAGTATCTCTTCCAAAGGATTCTGGCTTTCTTTTTTTTTTTTTTTAACTTTTTCCTTTTAAAAAAAAAAGAAAAAGAATATTTTCTTTATTTACATTGCAAATGTTATCCCCTTTCCTGGTTTCCCCTCACTCCCAAACCCCCTATCCCATCCCCCCTCCCCTCCCTTGCTTCTATGAGGGTGTTACCCCACCCACCCTCCAACTCATGTCTCCCTGCCCTCAAATTACCCTACACTGGGGCATCGAGCCTTCACAAGACCAAAGGCCTTTCTTCCCATTGATGCCCGACAAGGCCATCCTCTGCTACATATGTGACTGGAGCCAT